GACTGTGTAGGGATCCTCTGGGACACTGCATTTTCCCTTCCTCTCTGACCTGCTCCAGAAAGTACTCTTCACATATAACCTGCTTTAGAATTTCAAAATTAAAAGGACCTCCCCCCAAATCATCTAGCTCCCAAAAGGTGATATAAAGAATGTGAATGAGAAATAAAACAGGCCTACACAGCAGCTTGGCAAGAAAAATGACCTTGGTGTGCCCAGTGTTCATTATTGAAGCACAGACTTCTCTATCTTTTCAGGTTTTATGAGAGAGAGAGTGATGACTTCCAAGAGCCTCAACCATGAAGGATCACCAGAGAGGCTGTGTGTAATCCAGACCGAGGCAGAAAAAGTATTATGAGGGATCAAGGAGAAGTAGCAAAAGCAGCGTGAGACTGGACAGTAAAAAAGGATAACGGTTCCCACCAGCAATCCTGATGTACAGACTTCCATCATTTGCACCCACAACCCTAGACTCTTAAAGATGAATTTCTCTCAAGAGCAAGCAGCTGTTTCGCCAAAGCTACATTGAGTTTATTTCTATAGGATAAGATTATTATGTGAAGAGTCTCTCTCTCCCCAAATTTCTGATTCTTTCCCTCTTGTTTTATTTTATTGGCCACAGCATCAAACCAAGTAAGCTTCTTCCAGCTCAACCCCATTATCTGCTTTGTCTATCCATGCACACTTAAAGTTGCTCTTAAGAGGAGCTATATTTTTCTGTGGGAACAGATGAAATATAGTTTGTCATGAGAATCAGCGAGGACCATCTGGAATAGTTTCAGGGAGGACCAAATAAAACCCAATCAAATATGTTCGAGAAGCAAAAGAAGTTTAATGTGGCATTTTTATCCACTAATTTTAAAGGTTGAGTTGCCAGTGTTGATAGGGGCCTATCCTCTGAATATAATCACACAAGTATGCCATATATATTTGTAGGAGCAGGGTTTGTCATCACAAAAGACTGGAAATAACCTAAATGTCTATCAGTAGGGAACTCGTTAAATAAATCAGTTTACCCACATAGTGGATGGATACTGTGCAGCTAATGAAAAAATAAAACAGGCCTGGAATTTAAGAGAATATGGAATTTATTAGATATCGAATATAAAAACAAACCCATCTAAATAGGGACCCAGAGAGCTCCCTTTATTTCTCTCTGGGCTTTCCCACCTGAATCCCCATAAAAACATTTTGCACATGCACAATGGCTAGCAAAGACTAAAAAGATGCAAAGCTTCCAAAAAATGACAGATGCCTAGCTTAAGGAGGCTGATGATGAGAGTCAAATGAGCCCATTCCTGGAGCCCGCTGTTTGTTCAGTCACAGTCCCAGGTCAGAACAACAGCCTTCCAGACCCGAGGTTAGTATGACTTCCCGAGAGTAAGACTGGCTGGCGTCACTGGCTGAGAGGTCCTCCACTTCCTGGTTTATTGCATCCTCCAGTTGCTTCACTACCCAATCCTGCTCCTGCTCCACTAGCACCGTATAGAACCTTTGCATGGCTAGAGGGTCCAAAGGGGGACAGAGAGGAATACTGAATGGGTTTGCCCATTGGCCCCAGATATACCCAGGTCACAGAAGACCACCCGAAAACCTCTCATTCAGGGATGCTGAACTTGAGCCCTCCCTTCCTTGGGATAGATGTCCACGTCTACCTGCTGCATGCCCGATGGCTCTTTTTGGTTTCGTTATCACAGCACCTGCCCACCAGATACCTTCATGGCTCATCAAATCCTGTAACCTGGCTTATGGCCTTGGCCTCACCATTGTCTACCTGCCTCTAGTGGTCCTTCACTCAGTCTGTTCTCCATATTAGCCTAAAAGATATCTGTGTAACATAAATGTTCTCTTATTCATTGCTATGTGCCCAGGAGGTAGAACAGTGTTCTGCATGTGTTGAGATGCAATAGATAAAATGACTGTCATGTTTCTATAACCTTCAGAGGAGAATCTAAACTCCATAGCATAACATACAGGGACATCTATGTCACCTACCTGTCTTTCTCACCTAGGAGACCACAAGCCCCACAGGGCAGAGCTCCATTTCATGCTGGCTTAGTCCCAATGCCCTGCTCAAGGCAGACACACAACAGACACCTAGAAGGTGTAACATACCTCAAGTGCCTATCAATTCCTGTTTACAAAGGAGCTTAAAGATATGAAAGTGAAACAGAGGGCCTAGAAGGGCTGGAGCTATTGGCCGGTAAAGGCAGAAAAGGAAGACTCCACTATTGGGTTGTAGAGGGGTGGCTGGGGCATCTTTGAAGGATGCAGGATTGAGAGGTCAGCTCCACTTACCATGTTTTAGCAGGAGAGGTGTAGCTGCAAAGACGAGGCGGAACCAGCCAGGCTCCTTACACATAAAGGTCTTGCCACAGGACAGTATCAGCTTTTTGTCCAGGAAGCGGCGATGGAGGAGCAACTCTTCCTCAAATGTGCATGGGTCCAGGTACTAGGGAGGACAGAGGCACAGAGCTGAGCCCAAGTCCCACCAAGCACATCATCTCAAGAACACCTGTCTTCACTCCCAGAGCTCACCTTTCTCAAGTTGATCCAGATATAGAGGCCAGAGCCATGACTGAGAAAAGGGATCTTCGATGACTTCAGTTCATTAGTGATGAACTTGTGAGCCTCCTGCAGCCGGGAGCGGTTAGTGGGCAGGTACACATTGTCAATCCATTCTGGATGGGTGGAGGAAGAGGGCTGTCACAGATCTCAGGGCTGAGATCTGCCAGAGGGTTCCTTACCAAATGCTACCTACCTGGGCTGCATGCCTTCTGGTTCCATCCAAGCCTGACTATATTATATTTGAGTCAACTGCTTTCATACTCAACACACCCACTTCTTACCTGTAGATTTGGTGGAGACACTGGGCTTCTCAGTATTTGAATAGGAATGTTCTGTTGAGTTTACACCCTGGGGCAATTAAGTCGGGGTATCCCCTAAACAGGGTTGATACTGCTTTGTCAACTGAGCAAGTAGCAGGGACTCATAGCTCCTTACTTCCTGCCTTAGAGCCTCACAAATGGACTTTGAGGAACCCAGACATCCTGGGGGATGATCTTATCCCAACTGTTCTCAGCACTGACATCATATTAGATCCACCTGGGGCTTCTGAAAGGCAATGCCCAGGTTGTATCCCCAGACATATTAATTTGGAATCTTTGGGATGGTGCTCACACATCAATATTTAAACCCTCCATGTAACTCCCATGTGCACCCAAGGTTGAGAACCAGTGTTCAAGAGGCTGGGAATCTGGTTTCTACCAAATAGCAAAGGACCTAGCACCATGCAGGGAGGCATCCAGTTGGATTTCTCCTATCTACTAATTTCCCAGCCAAAGCTAAAAGCAAATGGTTTTCTAAACCAGATTACCTGATTACTTTTGTTTGTTTCATTATATCCCAGCTTTTAATTTAAATCCTCCAGCCATGAGGCCTGGCCTGGAATGGAGCTCCGTACCTCTGTCCTGGAGCAGCCGATGCAGCTTGTACTGGGTGATGCCAGAGATGCCATGAAGGTAGCCGAAAGAGCTCATGGCCAAGGCCACCTCCTTGTTATGGGTGTACAGAGTGCCAAAGCGGAAGCCAGAGATGCCGAAATCCTAGAGGAAGAGAAGTAGGGAAAGGAATACCTGGTTGGTCTGCCTTCTGCTCCCAGTGCCACTTCCTTCCCTACCCAAGGATAGGCAGCTGGGGCTCACCTTACTGGTACCCCAGATCATATGGGTCTTGTTGGGGTCAGGCAAGCTGGAGAGGAGAAAGTACAAACAAGATCATGCAGAAGTATTTGAAGGATGAAGACGTGGGGTCTATGAGGGGAAGATGAAAGTGGACTGGAGGTCCTTCCTAGACAGGAGGGCCTATGGGACCCAACATTCAAGGAAACAGTTGCCCCACTTAAGCCAGGAAGTCAACAAAAGGTATTCTTGTGGAACTAGATGGGACAGCTCTCAAGTGCCCACTGACTGATGTCTGGGACCCTCAGCCTGGCTTGTGGTCTTCCTAAAGCTGCTCCAAAGCCACCTTCTCGGCAACTGGCTCTTCACACATGAGGGCCACCCACCACTTCTGAGATGTATCCACCTGTTTCTTACTGCCCCACCTTTTTGAATCTGTTCCTTCTTCCAGGAATGCACTTCCCTTGCTTTGGCTGCTGAATCCTATCCTAGGACCAAATACCACCCTTAAGAAAGCTCTGCCCTATTTCCTTTGTTTCCCTGTACACTGCTTATCAAGAAGCTCCTACCCTGACCTTCTGTAGGGATTTATCCTGACTTCTGACAGTGCACTTTCTGCCTTTCCCTCCAGTTATCTTGTGTACAAAATGGCATTTAGAGAAGACGCTTGAAGGGAAAGCTGATGTTTTGGTCACTTTCACACTCGTGGTGGCTGGTGGCTCTTAGCTCAGTTTCTAGCATGTAGCCAATTAAGTTTATTATAGCACATGAACTCAAAAGCAGAAACTTCATGGTTCTCATTACCAACTTCAGCTGAGACCAACTCACCTCTCCATGCTCAGAACACTACGGAATGTGACGGACTCATCAAACACAGACAGCATGTAAATCTCATCTATAATCACGTGTAGGCTGTACCTGCAGGTTAGATGAAAGGGGGAGAACGATATTTAGGATCTCTCTAATCTTCTCTTGCTTCCTTTTATGGTCTTCTCTGGACACAGATCAGATACTCCTACTGCCCCGGCAGCCCACCCAACCCTTCCAAAAGGCATGGTAAGGTAGAAGAGGGTTGTTCACCAGAGAGGACTTTTCACCCTGACTTGAGGGTACTAGGAAGGAGTAGGACCTAAAAGACATGCATGAGAACATCTCCCTAACCCTTCAACCATCAAGCAGAGACCAACAGGAAGGGGCTGGGCATCCCAAGGAATTTTCGTCTGGTCCAGTCAGGAGCTTCCACTCAGGGCTTGATTTGAATAGTGATATTCAGGGGGCTAAGGGCTCATGTACATCATCTTTATTTTCCCAGCAGCCCTCTGAAGCAGGACTGTTCCCTCCAACTCACAGATGAAGAAACTAAATTTCTGAGATATAAAGTTAATTCCCACAATTAGCTGGTGCTAGAGCTGGAATGTGGACCTACTTCTGTCAAATTCTGGCCCACGGCATCCAGCATTCTTCCTCTTGTCCCCATGCTCTGCCTTTAACTGATCTAGATAGTTATGAAGTTTGAATAAGTGTGTTTCTTCCAGAAAATGGAAGACTGTCTACCCTAAGAGGGCTATTTCCAGACTCCAGAGAGAACTGATGTTAACATGTTCTTAGGAATGGGCCATGAAAGTTCTACAGGGACACGTCTTCACCCCACAGGGTCTAAAAGTCTATCCTCCTTGGCACCTCAGGCCAAGTAGTTTGGGAAATGGATGCTGGGAGAAAGTACTTACGCTGCAAGAAGTGGAGAAGCAGCAGAACTATGTGATGCAGGTATGGGCACGTGGGCAAAGGCCAGAAAGGAAACGGCAAAAGGGTTTGGTTGAAACAGTCAGCATGTGGGTGCTTTTCATTTCAATTTCCACTAGTTGTACATAACTTTACAAAGTACAAAGTAAGGATATTTAGGGTATATTATTTCTGGTTTTGACTTCTTGACTATAAGTGAGAGGGAACCCTTTTTAGGGACTTCATCTTGTCTCAAGGGGTGGAACTCATACTTCTTGGCAAATTCCAGATATTCCATCAGTGAGTCTTGGGAGTAGATGTGTCCCAGAGGATTCTGAGGGTTGATTAGCACGAGGCCTCGGACCTTTTTCCCCTAAAAAGAACCGAACAGGACCAAGTGAACACGAATCCTTCACATCTACATCAAGTTCAGAAAAGGATCAGGTCACCCAGTACCGGACACCTAATCAAGGCTTGGGTGAGATCCTGCAAGAACAACTATCACATTGCCCACAGAGTGGGGATCAGGCAGAATCTCTGGGTGCTGCCATAGACGGGGCTCAGGGCTCCTAGGGGGACATGCCCCTGGGGCACTGCCTCTTTTGCAGAAGGAGCCCACACTGTCTAGGTCAACAAGTTGTAATACAGGAGTCTCAGTACTCAACGCCTTTCACGGGCAGCAGTGCTTACCCTGAAGACGTGGTTCCCTCCTTACCTCAAGCTTAGCATTGAACAGGGCTTGCTCCAGCTTGTCCACGGTGAGCTGGAATGGATGTGTGTTTGCATCACTGACCTGGAAGATAAACACTGCCTGAGAATTGCCTACCCGGAAGCTCCCAAGCCTTAATTCCTCATTCCTATAAACCCTGAGCAATCCTTTACCTTCATATCCAGGGCACTAGTCCCACATGCCTTCTTTGTCTTGATTTCTCCAACCTTCTCCCATCATCACTTATATGGGAGGAAAGCAAGGCCCCCTACACCTTTGAAATGCCCCTAGAACATTCCGTCTCCTAGATGGGCTGAGCAGGGGAAGGGAACCCGTACTGACCTGACTCTCCAGGTTGACAGGAACTAGATCAACCTTCGCATACAGGTGGGTACTAAAGACGAAGCCACTATAGGTGGGAGTGGGGACCAGAAAAGCCTCTGAAAGCACAGAGAAACCAAGCTGTCAGTGCAGGGTCTCCTAGTCAGAACCTGCCAAGACGCCCGGGACCAGCAGCAACACAACCCTCAGAGAAGGTGGGCTGGGTAATCCCTCCTACTTAGAGATGAATGCCTTGGGGCACGGGCTCTATTAAAGTTATCCATTCTTATAAACATGATTTGGGGAACAAAACTCAAGTTTCCTCTTTGTGGGCACACTAAAGGAGAAAAGGGATGAATATTGCTGGAAGTGACTTGGAATCCAGGGACTCAAGCCAGGCTTGCTAGAAGGTAGAGCCTGGGTCATCCGGCAAGACTTGTCAGCTCCGGGTCAACAGTGGAGGCTGAGGTTCAAGCACAGGGAGGGCTCTTATTGCTCTGCGTGGCTCACATGATCTCACAGGCCTGGTGATATGATGGGTCCTTTCCTTCCCATCCACTCAGCCTCAATGATGAGCGAATCAAGGACCCACTCCTTTGAGTGAAACTGGCCATCTCGGTAACGAGCCACCCATGCAGCAGGCACATGAAGATCTGAGGGTTTTGTTTCAGGTTGTTAAGAGGCATGGTTAAGAACAGATCTCTCAAGCCTTGTTTGGTCTAGAGCTCAGTTTTCAGGTTCTTTGTTTTGAGGAGACAGAAAATCTATATAGTTTAAGCCAGGTTACCAGGGTTCTCTGCTTTAGAGTTGAGATCAAAAGTCCAACACTATAATGAGTTGGCTCCCATTGTCACCATTCCTGGGGCAGACCTCCTTGAGGATTGTCCCAAGTTACTATTAAATGGGAATCTAAATCCCTTGTTCCTACATAAATAGGGGTAAGACGTTCTAACCAGGGCAGAAGGCACACCAGCACTTTAGGGGAAAGGCCTGGAGTCAAGATGCTCTTCTCCCATAAGGCCAGTGCCCCGGTGCTCCTGCCCCGGCGCTGCTACTCCCGAGGAGAGCAGAGCCCACTGACTTACCACCTGGATCACACAGAACCATGGCCAGTGCGGAGAAGACAGAGGAGCATCCGTTTAGAACAACCACCTGAAGAAGATACACAGAAGGCAGAAGTCGAAAACCAGTCCCCATGGAAAGGGTAGTTCTCCTGTCTCCCTCCCCCTGGGAGGACAGACATAAGCAGTCTCCCCTCTAGGACCCATGGCCTTCCCTCCGCCCTGACTCTGAGGGGCTCCACTGGAAATGCAGAGAGGCCTCCAAGAGCACAGTCCTCCACCGGGGTGGCAGGAAGGCTGGAAATAGACTCACATTTTCCGGATCAAGGGGGGCCGGTGCCTTACAGTAGTAGGTCAGGAACTGGGCCACTTCTTCCCGCAGGCTGTGGACAGACTCAGAAAGACCGTGTGGTTCTCAGGCCCGTGAGCTTTCGTCTTTCACAGTCTAGACTTCAGTCTTTTTGACAGAGCAAAGCGTCCAACCTCCTTTTACAGGGCTCACAGGGGACTGAGGCTCTCAACTCCCCAGCTGACACAGACATTAACTGTGAGACTTTGGACAAGAACTGGGGCCTTTTGAATTATAGGGCAGTGCACTTTCTACTACTCCAGCCTGCCTCTGATGGTATTTTGTGTTAGGCATTTTCTAGAAATCATTACACAAAGAAATAGGTAGGTAGGCAGCGAACAGAGAATCTGGCACCTTGAGTCCTTCCTTGCATGAGGACAGGTGCCTGTGGACCAGGAGACCACAATCTGGAAGCTACTTACAATGGCTGCCCTCTCCAATCAGAATATTGCAGAAGGTCATCATCAATGTAGTTCATGTCACTCCGACTCAACTGTGGACAAATAGAGCATGAGGACAACCAGACCAGGGAAGCCCAAGAGGCTTCATCTCATTCCTAGGATGCACATGCATGTTTGTCCTACCACACGGGGCCTCCCGGAGGGAAATGGGTGCACATGCTACATGCTCCCTAATGAAAGAAGCCTTCAATTCATTCTTGTCAAAGATTACACAGATAGATTATCACTGGGAAGTGTTCGACAACCCCCCCCCAACTCTACATTTGGGCCAGAGGCTCCCTTGGCAGCTTACCTACCATATACCCACCCAGAGAACACTTCCTAACACAGCAAGGCCAGCCAGGAGGCTAGACGTGCTATTCTAGAAGCTATTTCCTCACTCCCTTTCCCAAACTTCTAAGTCTTATTCCTGTATCTACCGCATGCCGAAGAACATTCTGGAGGGCTCACGCCTCAAGGTGGGTCCCAGCACAGCCCCGAACATGGCTTACCCTTTCAGTCAGCAGATCAGTACAGAGCTTGTTCTCACTGGTACCAAGGTTGATGAAGCCCTGGAGATGGATGGAATCTAATCTCAGTTCTCTTGCCTTGCCCTTGCTGACCCCTTTAAAAATGGCCCAAGTACTCATGCTAGCTTAGCTCAGATGGAGATCTCACTGCTCCATGAAGCAATGCAATCCATGTTTGACAACTTTAATGTTAGAAAAATTTCCACAAACGCATCTTATGGCTTGCCAATCTCCCCCTTTAGAGCCATGTAGATAAAAATAATAGTTATATTATGTACCAGCTATCATTCACTGAGTTCTTACCATGTTTCAGACGCTAGATTAAGTGCTTCATGTATATTGCCTTAATTCTCCTGAGAAAAAGTTCTGTTATGATCTCTGCTTAAAGAGAGTGAAGCACAGAAAGGTTGAATAAACTACTAACCATGTGACCTTGGTGATGGGCAGAATTTCACCTGCCTGGCCCCAGAGCCTGGGTCCTTAACAACCACAGGCCCTGCCTGTATCCACCTCTGCTATTTCCACTTCCATGGAAGGGCCCTTCAAGTTACTGGAAGAAGTATGATCCCTCAGAGGCCAGTGGAGATACCTGACTCATTTGGCCCCCAGAAAAGCAGACGGCCACTGGCCACATATCACTTAGGTGGTTACAGAAGGAAAGGTGTGACTAGTGTAGTCCTCCGCCCTCTGGCTGGAGAGCTGTTGTGAACCTCCCTTGCTGGAAAGCCTTCTGCTGATCCCCGTCACCCTTAGGATAACATCCTAATGCCTCACAATGGCCTAACTCCATCCATATCTCGTGTTCCACCACTGTCTCTACTCTGGCCACAAGGACCTCCTTTCCCAGTCACTCCAAGCTCTTCCCACCTTAAAGCATTCACACATGCTGTTCCTCCATCCTGGAGCCCCCTGGCCCCGTGCCCTGACCACCACAGATTCAGACTTTAAAACACCCTCCCTGCCACTTTAAGCAGGCATCCCCTTTGTGCTCTTGGAAACACTATTCATATTCATTTCTCCAATGACTGACCCAGCTCGTCAGCTTTCTTGGCCACATCACCTTGTTTCTGTGCCCATCCCCTGCCCTTAAATATAAGAAGACAACAGTGCCTACTTCATGGGGCTGGGAAGAGTCAGTGAGAGGGCACAGTACTCGGCACAGGACTGAATAAATCCTAGAGATGGGGGCCCTCGAATATGTCCCCCATCCTCACCAAAGTGTTCTTGTCCTCATGGTATTTGTTTCCTTGGTAGGTGTTGTAGTCCTGGAAGCTGGCGTGGTATAAAGCAGAGGTTTCAATCCCACGGTTGGACAGGACATAGTTGATAGATGTATCTTCAAAATTAGTCAGTTGGTAAAATATCTTGTAAATCTGCTTGGATACTTGGGCCTGTTCCCTACTTCTGACATCACCCTTAGAGTCCTCAGAATGACAAGGTGGTTGGAATTTCTGGCCTCCGGTGGCCCCAAACTGTAGGTAGTTGACCATCTGGAACATTAAGCGACCCAGGAGGGCTTCCTGCCCCCAGATGGGCTGATTGTGCCTCTGCTCCTCTGGCACCAGGTCCTGCTGCTGGTGCCTGGTCGCCAGCTGTGTGATGTGATCCGCCACGGTCTGCTGCAAGGATAGCACCATCTCCATCAGCCAGGTGTGGATGCTATGGTTCCTGAAGGCCTGGTCCCACACCTGGCCGTCAGACATGTGGGGGATGTCTGATGGGTTACTCCTACTCTGGGTACTCATATGGGCCTCAGCTGGCTGGCTAGAACCTGCAGAGAAAGAGAGACATTCCACTGCAGCAGAGGAGACTCCCTGAGCCTCAGGTCCAGGCCTGAGCTCAGGCTGGTCACTGGTCCCTCCTCCCGCCAGGCCTTGGCTGTAGGCCCAAACTAGTTCAGGAAGAGCTGCCTACTCATTCAAGGGCAATGCCTAGGTGGCCCCCAGCCCAGGCACTGGAGCACCGTGTCATTAACACGTGCTCTGAGGAAGAGCCTTAGGGGCTACTTTGAGAAAAAGGGGGGAACTGAACAGGTAGGTTGTGGATTCTTCAACCACAGCAATTCCTGCTTCATGGAGTTCTAAGTGAGAAAAGGGATTCTGCTGCTAAAAACAACAACAAAACAAAAACAAAAACAAAATAAGCAAGACATGTCATTCTTTTAGAATAGGGGTAAGAAAACTACCGCCCAAGGGCAAACTAGCCTTCCATTTGTTTTTGTAAATAAAGTTTTATTGGAACACAGCTGTGTTTGCTTGTTTCTGTATTATCTATGACTGCTTTTGTACAACAGCAGCAGAGTTGAATAGTTGTGACGCAGCTCACGTGGCTCACGAGGCCTAATATATTTACTATCTGGCCTGACACAGAAAAAGTTCCTCAACTGCTGTTCCAGAATGTCAGCCCTACTTTTTGCCTTTTTTCCCCAAGTTGGCCTTACCAGATGTTCAAAGCTCAGTCCTTCCAGTCCCCTGCTTCGTATCACTTCCTGTGAATGCCTTTCACCTGCTCACTGTGACAGCCACCTTGGACTTCCATCACTGGTAACCATGGGTAAGAGCCATGGTTCTCGAACTTTAAAGTCCACCAAAATCATTTAGAGGGTTTGTTGGGACACAAATGGCTAGTCCTCATCACCAGATTTTGTTTCAGTAGGTCTGGGGTGGGGGCTTGAGAATCTGCAGTTCTAACAAGCTCCTAGAACTGTATTTTGAGAACCTCTCTTCAGACTTACCTTCTGTCTGGAAAAAAAGTCAAAATGCTGAATAAGACCTAAGAAACATCTTTTTAAGGTCTCAAGGAATGAAAAAATAAATCAAATAGCAAGAAGCCAGGAGGTAAGAAAATTTCAGGCTAACAGCTGCTTCTAATTCATTATGACAATCCTCATATCCCCAGACACTGAGAGCTTTTTTAAAAATCTAGACTCATGCACTTCCCAACAAATGTCATCTTCTAAGTTCTTTTTCTACATTACACATGCCCCCACCTCCAATATACAAAACCTTGATACTTCTTTTATAGGTTTGTGGCACCAGTACTTCAAAGTACTGGCACTCAGCCCAACCTCTCCAAACCATCTTTAGTTGCTTGAGATGTTCCCATAGCAACTTGTACTTCCCTGTAATGATACTTAATTTTGTTACTCGTTCAGTATCTGCCCAGGTCAGCCTTTGTCATCATATCCTTAGCCTGGTGCCTGGCACATAGGTAACTAGTGGGAGAGGCACACCACAACGATGTGGCCGAGTTAGTGAAGAAATGAACCATGACTGAAGACTCTAACTTATGAAAGATGGAGCAACAGCCAGATAAAGCCACAGGACAGAGGTGTACCATGTCCTGAGTTAGGATGCCAATCTTTCATCAACAGGGATATAAAGAACCTCACTCACCAGTATTAGAAACATAACTATTTAGAAAGAAATTGAACAAATAAAAGCTCTTATTCTTGGACCAACACTTTGTTCCACAAGCAAAAGCTTCACTCTGGCCCAAGCTCCCTCCCCTAGAAGAGGGTAATTTCAGTGGGGCTCTCAACTCTGGGAGTAAGTAGGTCACACTGTTCTTCCAGAAACTTGGATAACACAGAAGGATAGTTCAAGGGTCAAGTAGGATTCTTTTGGTTTTGCCTTCCAAAAGGTGGTACCCATCATCCCTGTTGGTCTTGATGAGTGCTGGTGGGAGGGCCAAGAGGGCAGAGATGACCTCCCTTCTTTGGTCAAGAAGCTATCACCAGGGCACTTCTGCCTTCTCCCAGGGCTGGGCTGTCACATATGGAATGTGTTTCTTCTATTTCACCTTAATAACTAAATCAAAGATGTGACAGCTCTGTAGACAAGCACACAGGGCCAGAATTTAAGCCGTTCTACCAGTTCAGGCTAGATTAGGGACTCCCTTGGACTTCTTACCCTGGAAGTCCTTGCTGTTAACAAGGTCCCACTACTCTGCCCCATTCACCCAGCCCTTAGCTGGGGACTCCAGGTTCAGAGGAAACAGGGATCAGGATGGGGTAGGGAAGCTGGAGGCCAGTGTAGCCTAATAGGCCATTGGAGGAAGGAGGCTGGAAGCAGTTGGAATGAGGACCTCTCCAGGCAGGCTTATGGGCCAGAAAATAGGACCAAGCCAAGTAACTGCGAAAAGTGTGTTTTTCTGGTAAATATATTTTCTGATAAGGAAGCGAGTATGCAGAAAGACTAGGGGGAACTTAGAAGTTAGACCTCTGCCAAGACTTGTCTTTTCTATAGGAAAAGTCTATTGTGAATGACGTTGTTCCACAAAGGCCATAATGTCCTTAAATCTCAGCCCTAAGTTGTCTGGTTGGGATACATGGACCCTCTCCTCAAGTCTTCTTGGCTATATCCTCGGTTTCAGTATTTCTCATCCTTCAACCATCTACCTCCCAAGCCACACTCAGGGGCCTTCTACAGAAGCAGTGTCTCAGAACCAGCCCACTGGTGCCCTCTCATAAGAGGTGAAAGACAGATCTTAAACAGTAGGAACTGGGAATGGGGAGTGAACATGGGAAATGAACGAGGAACAAGGTCTCCTGTCCATCTGGGATGCCAGCACCTGGGTATACCGTTTATACCAGGTACTTCTACTCTCACTTTTCCTTACAAGCCCTTCTAGCTCTGTCTTGCCCTCTGGCCTTCTTTCCCTTTGCCATGCTCCAGCCTCCCCTGCTGTCTCAGTACTCCAACCTAATTCAGATGTTTTCTTCTCAATGTAGTAATTATGATAAACATTGTCAAGTCTTCTTTACGTGCATGGGAAGCAAGGTGTCTGGGGATATAAACCCCTAAATACAAGTTGCAAAACTGAAAAGTCAGGTAAAAGAAGCCTCGAGAAGCTTCGATTCTGTTTTTTAGTCACCACTTACCAATTGTAGGATGTCGGAAGAATTATCTCCCCTGCCTGGGCATCAGTTACTCATGCAAGATAAGAAGATACTTACCTCAATTAGAGGTTAAACTGAAGCTCAATGAAGACAAGTAAGTTCTAGTGTTCCACAATAGAACCAGGATTTAAATCTAAGATCTCCCACTTTAGCTCATAACTCGTGGGAAGAAGAGTGAATTGGCAGAAAACCAGTCCTTGCACAGACTGTAGCTTGGCTTCACATCACATAATGCCCAGGAAGTCTCAAGTTTTGAAGCTGGATTAACTCATCCAACAATATTGTCATCCTGTACTGTTGGAGACTCAAAGTCCCTGAGCAGGAGCAAACAAATCTGGAAGCAGTTACCGTAGATTGTAGATTTCTCAAAAGGATTGTTTTTCAAATACAGTGTCCAACACAGAGAAAATCCAGACACATGAGTAAATAGCATGAGCTAAAACCAGCACAGGCAACAAAGACCAATTGGACTTGAGGTACTAGGGGTAGATTTTAAAATAATTGCTTTTCTGTTTAAGGAGATAAAATCTAAGCCTGAAAGTTGACAAAAACTGAAGTTATTAAAATGACAGATTTAAAGATGATAAGAGATTCTAGATGTTAAAATACAATGACAAATGAAATCTCAATGGAAGAATTTAATAGCATATTAGATACAGCTTAAGAAAAAATAAGTGACCTGGAAAAAGAGGCTGAAGAAACTTTCTAGAAAGTCTTCTTGGCTAAACCTTTGGTTTCAATCTCTCTCACCCTTCAACCATCTACTTCCCAAGCCACACTCAGGGGCCTTCTATAGAAACAGCATCTCAGAACCAGGCACTTCTTTAACCTAAGAAGTCTCTTAGCCAAAAAGCCAGCCTCCAACTCAATCAAAAAACTGAAGGGTTTGAATTTATAAATGGGAAATAAGGCCACTCATTGTCACTGGAAATACCTAACATTGTACCAGACATCTCAGCCAGAAATATTAGGCAAGGAAAGAAATTAGAGTTAAAAGTAGGGATTTAGATTCTTGCTACCCACAGATTACTACTGTCTACCTAGAAGACATAAAAGAATTAACAGAAACTCTACAAGAGAATTTAGTATAGTTATAGAATAGGGGCCCGCTTCATCTTTTTGTAAATCCAGTTTTACTGGAACACAGCTACACCCATGCTGTATATACATGCTGGCCAGAATCTGGGTGTAAATACTAGACCAGCATTTTCCACCCGGGTCACTTACCTAATGATTGAGCCCAGAGACGGCCCAGCAGCCTCGTCTACATGCAGCTTCATTTTCATTTAATCCTAGCTGCTAGGAGGGAAGGATTATCCCCAACTCTCAGATAGGGAAAATGAGGGCATAATTTATGACCTGCTGTTCAGTTTAACACATTCCCCCAATATATCCAGAATGAGTATGGATGATGTAAGCTATCTAGGGGTCACAGCTGGAAACCACAACATTTTCAACAACAACTAACACTGACTGGGCACTGCCTCGAGCCAGGCTCTGGTCTAGGTTCTTTGTACGCACCTCCTGATTTAATCCTCAAAATGGCTCTATTAGGAGGGTATCACCATTAGCCTTACTTTACAGATGAAAAAACAGAGGCTCAAAAGCAGGAAGTGAATCACACAAGTTCACACAAGTAGGATGGGAAAGGGGAGCTTGAAACCCAAGTCTGTGAACCCCAGGCCCCACCGTCCTCTTAACCATCCCTCTGTGAAGCCTCTCACTGGAAGGGCACAGATACCCTCAGAGCTTGGCATTCACTTTCAGGGATCCAGAAGACTCATAAGTCCATCGTTAGTCCCGCCCTGCAGGAGCCCAGGTGAAGCCCAGGCATTGTTTGGCCTGAATCCCCCTCTTATCCCACCTCCAAGGCTCCTGACCTGGCCACCCTGCACTTACCTCTGTCCATGTTTTCACTCATTTCTTCCCTGGTCCAAAATCCTTAAGTTGTTCCTAACCGTTGGAGCTCAGAGACCTCTCCACCGCCCTCGTCCTCTCACTGAGCTTGCTTCGGGCTCTGCTTTTAAACACAGGTGGTTTTAAGGGCAACAAGAAACTCCACCTTGTCCTTTCCAAGGGAATCTCCCCAGAAGTTCTCAATTACCTGAAATGGCCTTTCTTTCTAAAAAGAAATTTTTTAATTTATTTATTTACTATTAATTAAGGTACCATTGGTTTATAATATGATGTAAGCTTCATGTGTGCAACATTATATGTCAACTCTGTACACACTATAGCATGCTCACCTCCAAAAGTTTGGTTTCCATCTGTCACTGTACAGTTGACCCCCTTTACCCAGTTACCTGCCCCTGTCCCAGCTTCCCATCTGGTAACAGCTACTCTGTTCACTGTATCTACATGTTTGCGTTGGTTTGATTTGGTTTGCTCATTTATTTTGGTTTTTTTGTTTGTTGGGGTGCATGTATCTTTATGAATTCGTGTTTTTATTTCTTTTGGATAAATACCCAGAAGTGGAATGTAAATTGATGCAGCCACTATGGAAAACAGTATGGAGATTCCTCAAAAATTTGAGAATAAAATGGCTTTTCTTTGCACCATTAGAGAGGCTGAGCAATTCCCACATCTGGGAGAACCGCACTTTGGAGCGGCGGTTCCCACACTTTGGAGGCAGTGGCATCACCTGGAGAGCTTATAAAGAGGCTCTTGGAAGTGGGCGAGGACCTGTGCCGGGGTAGTGGCTCAGGCCCACCAGGTGATCTGAATACTTAGCAATGTCTGAGAACCACTGGAGCAAGTGAATCTCAATTAAAGCACAAATGAGCTGCTAACCTTGCCCGTTTCTGGGGAGGCCACAATTGAGAAGGCTGCAGTGGGTTAGCCTACGGCAGGAGGGACAACTTGACGAGGAAGCCCTGGAGGGCTGGTCCCACTCCCCACAGCCCTACCTGACTGCACAGAGAGCAAACCCACCCAGTCTCTCTGGTCTTCATTTTCTCCTTGTTAAAGCAGGAGGTCATGAAAGCTCCCTCACAAAGGATGATGGGAAAGGCGTGTGTGAATGAGCGCCAGGCATTTGGAGCTCCTGGTCGGCCTTCCCTGAGGTCAGGAAACAGAAGCAAGGCCAAGAGCAGCCTATGATTGGAGAACACCCTGCCTTGTGACTGTCCTCCAGCTTCAGTGGGTGCTTGTTTGAAATGCGAGGCCTGGGCTCCACCATGGGATCCAGATTCATCAGGTCTATAATTGGGCCGAGGAGTCTGCATTTTAGAACAAACACGGCAGGTGATTCTGGATTACTCTCGGCTAGACGCTGCCCTCATAGACTGCACACCGAGAGGAAGCATGAGCGGTGGGCAGGCACTTCCCCGAGAGAGTTAGGACCTCCCATATCCCTCAGCCTGGCCTGCACGGACAGCCCATCTCCTGTCATTTATTTGTTCGGTCCCTGTTCATTTAAAAACACAACTATGATAAACAAATTTATACTGTACAGCACAGGGAACTATATTCGATATCTTGTAGTAGCTTATGTGAAAAAGAATATGAAAACAAATATATGTATGTTCACGTATGACTGAAACATTGTGCTGTGCACCAGAAATTGACACATTGAAAACTGACTACACGTCAATCAAAAAATAAAAATTTAAAACGCAAAAAATAAAAAATAAAAACAATTCAGTGGGTGCCTGTTATGTACCGAGCACTGTGTTAGACCCTGAGACTCAAAATAAAGGGACAGTTCCCTGACTTCAAGGAGCTCCAGAATACGCTTTCCCATGGAAAAGTCTGATCACAACTTTCCTTTGCTCAAGATCCCTCAGTGATTCCTCTTCACCTCACAGGGGTTATAAACTCAAACACCTTCAAGGACACAAACCATAACAGGTATGCAAAATTGGCTAAGGCAAAGCGGAAGACTGGGGAGGATGTCAGTGAACAAAAGCCTGCATATCCTCTTACATGGCTTCAAGTTAAACAAACAAAGGGCCAGCACCGCCTAACAGTCTGGTTTTACCTATTGATTTTCGCCCTCCGGCCATCAGTCTGCAACCTCTGAATCCAAACTCTTTCCTGTGGCATACCAGACCTCTAGAACGTTCACTCACAAGTACTCCCTAGTCTCATTCTTGCACCTCTCTCCCCCCTCAACAGCCCCCAAGCACTGAACCTCCAATAAGTCCTCCCGCATACCGTGATCTCTCATTCCTCCAGGCCTTTACACACGCTGTTCCCTCCACTCAGAGAGCCCTTTTCGCAAACCTACCCACTTGACAGTCCTCCAAGTCTACGTGTGCATGTCACCTCCTCCAAGGAATCTTCCTCCCTGACTCCTTAGGCAGGTTTAGGGGCCCAACCCTACACCCCCATGCTCTTTGTGCATGCCTACAGTATACAGCACAGCAGTCAGGCAGTGCTTTGAGGCCTTTGCTGTAGCTGGGCCCCAACACCTAGACCACTCTGCCCCCAGATACATGCTCGGCTCACTCCCTTACCTCCTTCAAGTCTTTGCTCAAATCTCCCCTTCTCCCTGAGGCCGACTATAACTACTGCTTCAACCAGCAACCTCTTCCCACCCCCAGCACACTGCAGTTCCCCTATCCCTTTCTACCTTTCACGTCTTACTGCACTTTTCTCCTTCACATGCACTCTACACTTAACTATTATATGCATCCTCCCTTCCAAAACTCCACGAGAGCAAAGGGATTCCATTGTCTGGTTTACTGATGTTTCTCAAATGCAAAGAATGGTGCTTAGCCCATAGGGAGCTCAACAATGTTTCTGAATGAAGGAACAAGGGGACGAATGAATGAATGAACCAATGAACGAATGAAGGAATAAAACAATGCAGTTATCTAAAGTCTGGGTCCCCTTCTGGATTGTAGGTTTCTCAGCTTCCGCCTTAGTTCCAAGGTACACAGAGGTTCTTGGTTAGTGTTTGTTGACAATTATCTGTAACTAAGGATGGGAATGAAGGAATCAATCGATTGCAGTCACCAGGTGCCTGCTGATGGTGGAATGAAGACTTGCCCAGAGAAAACCCCACTTTCCCCCCAGTCTCCGCCGTTTCCCACATCTGGATCATCTCTCCTACAGAGTGCGGGGGCTCCGACTACCACAACTGTAGCATAGCTTCGCCAAGAGGGGTCGCCAAACCCTTATTTTCCTTCCTGGTGCGGAAAACTCAGGGCAGACGCAGAGAAAGCGCAAGTGAGAGGACGGAAGAAAGGTGGGCAAAGAACCTGGGCCCCCTCCCAGAGCAGCCAGCGCCCTGCCCACGTGGCGCGTGCCCGCGGAAGGCTGGGGACCGAGCTCGCGCTGACTGCTGGACCCCGACGAGCCCCGTCCAACTCAGCGCGGCACCTGTGCTCCCAGGATCTTTTAGATACGACCCTGGGCGAGAGAAGTTGGATGCCTTAGGCAATGTCGCACAACTATAAAACCTCAGGGGTAGGATGAGAATCCAGATTTGCTGTGTGCTTTTGTTTCCTCCCTCCACTCCGCCCTCCTCCCCAGCTCTTTCTGGCATCTCTGTTTCAACAGCAGAGCAAGATTCCAAGTCCAGTGCCTGGCTTGGCCCAATTTAGAAGGCCCCTGGATCCTCTTTCTTGGTGGGGAAAGCGTGGAAGTAGGCAGTGGGAGGAGAAGAAAAGGCAGAGTTCCAGCTGCCCTCAGCCCCCATCCCCTTTTGTACCACCCTTGCTCCCTTGATTTCAGCCCCTGGACTTTTAAGTAGCCACTTGGTTACATGCCAATTCACCTGGGAAAGAAGAGCCTGGCAAACACAGAGGTAAGGCAGGAGGGAGAAGAGACTGCAAAGGGTCCCCTATCCCCTCCGAGAGCTAAACAGTAGGGAAACTGAGACCCGAGTGGGGGCTACCTGAGAAAACCCTGGTCTGTGTACACCTGCTGCCAGAACCAAGGAGTCTGTAATGATGGGCTCTTTTCATGGACATAGATCCAGAGTTCCAGGTACTGGGCCTCTCGGCAATCCAGTGAGGAAAGTATCCTTGGCCCCATTTTACAGATGGGGAAACTAAGTCCCAACAAGCTTTCCTCAACATTGCTCAAGTTCACACTGCTTGCACTGGCCTGACTCTAGGTGTGTCTGAATCCAGGCCTAGCGTGTGTTCTCTTTCTGGATTTCCCAGCCTCGGCAACAGGGCCTTAATGATCCCATGAGGTCTGGCCTGGTCTCCAGGTTGTATGAGATGATCTGGAGTGGGGAGCCAGAGAAGGAGGAATGCCAGTGTCACGGTCTGGTGGCTGTGGCAAACTCAACCCATCTATTTCTGGCAGGACGTGAGGAAGGTTATCACCAGATTGCCCTCTGGGGAACATTCTTCTTCCAACCAGTTACCCAGCAGGCCTTAATACCCAGCAGTTACCCAAAGGGCACTGCAGGTGTTCCTTTCTCCAGAAAGCCTCCCTGACTACTCCAGCCCCTCAGAGCTCCACGGCTACCCTTCGAGATTCTGAGCCATTGTCCACGTAGGTGTCCTCTGACCTTGGAACTCATTCCCAACCTGATTGTAATGACCTTGAAAAGAGAGACAAACTCTTTGCTTGTACTTCCCTTTAGCCTCTGGTGGCTGAGCATACAGTAGGTGCCAAGAAGCTGCTTTTTGTTTACTTGTTTACTGTTTACACAGGAAAACAGATCTTAAAAAGCAGCTCTCTGTTCCAGGGAGTTTTTAACCAAATTTGAAAATGACATCTGTGTCCTGTGGGACAACAGAGAGGAGTGAATTATCATTACTCATTCATTCAACAAATATTTCATGAGCAACTGCCATGTGCTAGACATCGTTCGTGGCACTGGCGACACAGAAGGCAACAAAACAGGGGCATCCCTCTTGTCATTTACCTTCTAAAGCAGGTATCAGAAAATGAACAAAGTATAGAAACAAATATAGTCGGGTAAGTGCTGTAAAGGAAACCCAAGTTGGACGGGGGATTGAGACCAAGAGGGAATGCTATTTAGATAGGTTAGTTAGGCAAAGGCCCATAAGAAGTAAAGGAGAGTCCACATGGATCTCTGGGGCAATAGCTCCAGGCAAAGGGCAGAGCGAGTGCAAAGGCCCTGGGGTGAGAACATGCATTTGCTGTATTTGAGCAAAGGATCTCTCAAGGTTTTGTGAAGCTTGATAAGGACTTTGGCTTTTCTTTTGAGCATGATGGGAAGACAGTACAGATCTTCTGGAGCTGGTATCTGAGTGACTAACTGCCTTGTGGAGCTGGCTGGGGGTTCCCAAACCAGTTGTGACACCTTGGGCTGTGTGAGGTACATTCCTGGCTCAGATCTACTTGTTCTCAATGCTAGAGTAGACCACCTTTGCTCCTTCAAAGTCCGAGGTATTCATCTGGGGTTCCTGGAACTCCGAGACAACATTCTCAACCAGGGGCCACATTGCAGTCACCTGGAAAGCTTTCCCCCAGACCAGTGCCAAGCTCCATCTCTGC